AAAGCCATTTTTTTCCGTCCAGGGGGAGGGGCAAGTACGTCCCCTGCCCCCTTCCTTTGGCCATGCCCATGATTGTAACATTTACTGCACATCCGATAAATGTTCGAATACTTTTGAGCGGGAGTGTACACAGTGTATTCAAAAAGTTCCCGGACTGTTATTACATGATAGCTTCTGGTGGCGACATCTGTGTTTTAAGGCTAAATCTATTGACTATAGATCTTCTTTTGTTTATCAGTTTCGTTTAACCTTAAAAGATTTAGTCGTTTGTCTCCAGAGAACATTTAAAATTTGTCATTTTTGTTTTGTTGTAATAATTTTTGTGACGGAGCAAAGAGCTGCGATACGGTTTTATTTTTTAAGTGGAGAAAGTCCTACAGAGACATACCAAATGATGCAAAATGCATATGGAAGTGACTGTCTCCGTCGTACGCAAGTATTTGAATGGTATTCACGTTTCAAGAATGGTTGCAAGTCACTCGAGGACAACCCAAGGAAAGGGCGTCCGTCGACGAGCAGAACGGACAAAAATGTTGAGCGAGTTCGTCAGCTTCTCATGAAAGATCGCCGTATGACCATTGAAATGTTGTCAGAGGAGTTGAAAATAAGTATTGGAAGTGTTCATGCTATCCTTCACGATGAACTTGGAAAAAAAACACCAGTCCGGTCAATGGTTTCTGTTACACGATAACGCTCCGTCTCACATATCGCTAACTGTGTCTTCATTTTTGGCTAAAAAGTCAGTCACGGTTCTAATGCACCCTTCGTACTCACCGGATCTGGCTCCAGTGGATTATTTCCTATTTCCAAAAATGAAACTAGTCATGAAAGGAACTCGTTTTGAGGATGAGGAAGCAATCAAACGGAAGGTGACAACAACGTTAAAGGGTATTTCAGTCGAAGACTTTTCCAGATGTTTCCGGCGACTGTACGAACGCCATCAAGAGTGTATCAACAGAGGAGGAAACTACGTAGAACATTAAACAATAAAATGATGTCTACCTATAAATCTTTTTGGTAGCAAACATAAGTCCGGGAACTTTTTGAATACACTGTGTATAATGGGTCCATCAAATGGTCTAAACATTTGCTACTGTAACAGGGATCAAAGATTAGATTAAGATTCCCATCGACCAGTTCCATCTCGTTCCACAAAAGCTTCCCGGTCGCTTTGTGCCCCATTCAACAAAGGTCTCCAGGATCGGGATAAACCTTGTTTACCCGGGCATTCGGATGAGATCCGTGGCACTTTGATGCCGTCGACAAAATTTTCATTTCTCCAGGGTTTTTCCGTGTACGTTGGACAGAGACGCGCCGCACGGTCGCTTTCTTTGAGCCTGTAGCGCCCAAGGTGATTATCACGAGAGGCGTGTACCAAGAGAACGGTATTCCGGGAACGTGATATTTGGAATTTGAATATGGTTTCGATACGCGTTTGCGCACCAACGCGGACAGGATGTCCGATTTACATTAAATTTACATCGCTATATAACTTGTCCCCCGTGTCTGAGATTGATACACACCGCGGTGTTGGAGATAGCTCTTCGGTGAGGAATCTCTTTGGAATACTCCTTCATTTGATAGAACCCGCGTGGAAATGTCTATACACGTCCCTCTCTCTTTATTTTTCTCCAGCGTCGGAGGCGTCCTCAGATGTCGTCCATATCGAAAATCTGTCGTACGTGTTCTTGTTTGCCCATTCATGTATTCCGATTTCTAAATATTGAATCATAACATTGAAGACTGGTGCACGAAATGGGTTTACCTTTCTGTCGGGAAACGTCAGAAGGTCTGGGTTACGCTTGGACTACGAATTCCATGCATTTACGGAATGATCGATTGTTTGACAGTTGGGATATTAGAAAGTCTGAACAAAGATAACAAATGGAGTTTTTTTGTGTCCTGTAGAATTTCGTTGGTTCCTTAGCGGAATAAATAGGTTTCTTGTTTATTTTAGTATTACGGAAGGTTCGACTACGTTGTACTTTTCGGTTAAGCTTTTAGCTACGGCACGTCACTGTGATGGCTTTATATGACAGGATTGTTTAGGACTTAAATGTCACGGGAATGGCTCTCTTCTAAATATTTGTAGAGAATCTGTTGATGTCTAGAGGAGAATCGTTACCGTGGTGTTTAAGTCCTAATGGATCATATCATACAAAGCCACTATAGAGGTATGTAGTAGCCAATTGTTAAACCGAAAATTTTAATGTAGTCTAACCTTCTTTTATATTGAAATTAAGAGACTGTTTTGTATTTGTTTACTGCATCAAGTAGTTCCACGCCAATCTGAGTTCATTTCTACGGAAGAATCGCGGGACATGAAAACGTAGTCCTTTAGTTAAGTCATGAAAGCAAAGGCACACAGTCGACATAACCCCACAAATTTCAAGTTCTTTTAACTTACAAAAAGTTAAGTCAGCGTGTGAGATACACGAGCAAGCTTGACAATTTCTATCGAGCACATTTACTTTTTTGCTAATATTAACACTTATGAAAATTATAGGCGTTTTGAAATTTCGTTCAGAGTAGCCTATAGGCATTCATTCTATATGGATCATCAACTAATGTTTCTGAACTCTGTCGCTTCTCTATTGAACACAAAACAGGATTTGTATCTTTCTTGTATATCGTGTCACGTATGAAGAATTTTCTATCATACCTCTCGCTCTAATAGTATGAGCTCGCACCCGGCAAAGGAAAATGCCCTTACGTTTTCGTTGTCTCTTGAGTAAGCGAGGGAGTAAAACCCGTTCCCACGGCGTGGTAACCAAAAAACTAGGAAGTGTGACGCAACTTGAACCGTGAAAAATTTCCTTGTATGGAAATTTCATAGCATCCCCACCAATTTTTCTAGGCCTATATAAACCCGTTGATTTTAACCTTCGGGGGATCAGAACTGTACCGTCGCCTTCAGAGTCACGTCGCGTCACGTTCTTGTGAGTTGATCATTGCGTTAGTGAGATCGGGTTAAAGTTCCCTTTCGAATCCAGTTAACCTTGTAGTAAACCGTGAACACTTTATTTGTATTCCGGCTAGAATTATTACTTTGGCATTATTCCGTAAAATCCACTCGCAACCTCCGCATCGTCATTGCGTTAACACCGAGCACCTATTTATTTCGGTAATAGTTATTATTTCATTATTACTTACTACTACGCGACAACACTACACAACACATTTGTAATTAAAGACTGATTAATTATATTGTTATTCTTTAAATCTGTGTAGTTCATTCTGAATCCATGACACGATCCAGAAATCTGTAGTATTATCGATATACTAGTTTCCTCTAGTTTAGAATAATATCAGGTCGATCGTTCCCACACTAATACAACTTTTCCGCTTGAGTTGTATTAATTATAAATTCAAAGATTACGAGGCACTAACTAACATTTCCTAACGGCTCCCTGATTTCGCATCAGGTTCGTCCGTGCATTACACTTGTCCGAGAGTATTTCCAACCCTGTGGTTCTCCGATTTCGCATCGGATTCGTCTGTACAGATTTGCCACCCTCCTCGCAGCTCCTCAGTTACGCGCTGAGTTCGTCTGCAAAATCACATCCTAGTGACTCTCCGATTTCGCATCGGGTTCGTTCACGAATTTCACCTTCTTGCGGCTCCCTGATTTCGCATCAGGTTTGTCCTCGTTTTCAAACATCCTAGCGGTTCCCTGGCTTCGCGTCAGATTCGTCCGCGCACCTTACTAATAAACTGATACCATATTTCTTGGAAAACCTAAACTCGCCGGCCTTTCGTGTTGCTACGGCCCGGGCTCGTAACAATCGCATACCATGGTTTGATTTTCATCTAGACACTTAGCTTCTGAAGTAATTTGACGAATGTCAGAAAAAATTGATGTGTATTAAGTGCCCTTATCACTTTGATCATTATTTAAACATATTTAGATGTCTATAGTACAATAACAGTTTGCATGATTTTGTTCAGGAGAGTTCATAGAACATTTCATGCCAAAAGCATCTGAAAGCATTTAAAAGTTGATTATTTGAAAAACTGTACCTGCAGCTCACAAAGATCTATCAGAAAAGCCCTGTGGCGGCCTTAGGACTGCCACCACGTCCTTGTTTCTCTGCGTTTCGATTTTTTGTAACTTTCACTTTTCTGGTCTTTCGTTTCGCTTTGCTGTTTCCTGTATATTTTTTCTCTTCAGCGTTTCTCACGGTCTCGTGCGAGTCTGGTTATTGTCATGCACATTTGGTAACCAGGTTCGGGCGAGACCCGGGCTTCTTACTCTTACATCCAGTTTCACGTAGGGTCCTTAGGTTTTCCTAAAAGTCCTTCTTTGTTCCGCTTTCCTACGTCGATTCTTTCTCTGTTTCCACTTTAACTTCCTGCTTACGGCGTCGTGAAGATCTAGCGCCCGTGCACATTTGGCGACCAGCTTGTGCGGTCCTTCCTGTACGTTGATTTCTCCGTTTTACCATCTCGACACTTTCTCCAAGTTTCCCGGCATTTTCGGGTTCTTCCCCTACGTCGTCTGTCTTTCTCTTTACTCCATCTTTCCTTTTTCTTTTCGCCCTTCTTAAGCCACCGCGTAACGACGGAGGTGGTCAGTCTGGCTGGATCGTAGTACGTTATAGCACTTTGTCGCGCCCGCGAGAATCTTGTACAGTTAGTCGAATAAACCAAGTGCCAATCAAAACGTGTGGATTACTGTTACACTCCAGTTCCCCTCAGCCCACTGAAGGTTTTGAGGTTTTTGGCGCGTTGACCACTGTTATTTGTATAATTCTCGTGACCATAGTTGCGACTACAGTCATCGTTTGGCTTGAAATTTCCTACAGTCCTTTCGTTGTTTGCAACGTCGATCACGGTTAGATATCGGCCATTTGCTGGACACGATTTACGTTTCAATCTGTCGCAGCGAAAGGTTTAAGTACGGTATACACTTATCGGTATACCGAATTGTTTTGTCTAGCGTCGATCACAAAACGATCGAGCGGCAGCAGTCACTCCACCGAGCCTTTTCTGAATTCCAGGTGTCCTGGGTTCGCAGACGTGGCGAGGAACTCCATTTGCTCACGATCGGCCTCGACACGTACGCGAGCGACTCGAGATTCTCCCTGGCGTTCGAGAGTCCGAATAACTGGAAGCTGCTCCTGAGCACGGCCACCGAACGCGACGGCGGCCTCTACGAGTGTCAAGTCAGCGCTCATCCTCCATTAATCAGGACTGTCCATCTGACTGTGTCCGGTGAGTAAATGTGTCATCTTTGTGCACCCGCGCGTATCCGACAGGATCTAGTTGACAGAGCCACGAAGACCGATCACGGACTTCAATTTCCAGAATATATGCTCTTTAATCGAGACTACTTCGGTGTCAACGATAAATCAGACCGCTCGAGCCGGGACAGCGCGCGATAGATCTGCTAATCAACCGTCAACGAGAATTTGACAAAAACGGCAATAAGCACCGGTATATTGCCTTTCGGTATGGTTAACAAAGTTTCTTGGGTTCAATCTTGATAGGGACATTTTAGAAGGTCTGTTGGAATCTTAGTATTTCTTGTCTTTATTTGAAATTAACAGAAGTACGTGGGAATATAAAATATAAATAGTTGGTGTTTAGAAAATTTTTGGAGGATTTTAATGTCTTGTGATACTTACCGAGAGGGATATGAAATGTTTGATCGACGTGGCTTATGATATTCATCCTTTTGGTGCAGAATGTAATTTGGTACTGCTGAGTATCGAGTAACGTAAGTGAGTTTCGTAATGAACTGTAATTTTTAATATTGTATTGAAGGCGAGTCGAACACTTCTTGTGGAAATGACACTAGACTTTTCTATTTTTAACATTTTCATGTGAATTTACAGAGCTATATAGAATACAGAGCTACATGGAAGCTCATTTAAGATCTCTTTAATTACCACCCTTTTGACAGAATACTCCATTCAACAAAATTATTGAAATTAATACAGGTTCCTAAATATTAGATTTTAATTGAAACGTTGACTTCCAAAAATGCAGATTTCGAAAAGTAATATAATGTATATAACTGTATCGTTGAAGATCGTAGATAATTTTACTTTGACTAATAAGATTCGTTTAAAGTTTAATGGTAGCACGGGTGATTATTCTACCGAACTTAATTTTAAGATCTATATCGATTAAACATTTTCGACTGCTCTCAATAAGTATTGCAAAGTCACAAGGTCTTAAACTTTTTTTAAACTTATATACAAGTCTGAAGTTTTAATAATAGACTAAACCCTTTGCTGTAGAGGAAGTGGTGCTGGGTAGTTAGGAATTGTTTTCCTTTTTAATCAGTTTTATCTGAAGTTTAAAGCAAGCACCTGTTGGAAAAATGTTGATTGGCCCCCGTTTGGTGAAAATGGTTCAAGTATTCTTGTTATACCCATTTTAGGACAACTTCTTAACCTTAAGGTTTCAAAAGGTACTTGTATTCATTGGTTCAAGAGGGTGCTCATTTTGATTCGGTCTAAAGAGTATATTCCCTTTAATAACTTGTTGACATTCTCACGAACTTTACATCGTCCTCTAAAAACCATTCTTCGTCACTTTCAGAGATAAAGTACTGAGTGAATATCAACGGAAAGTTTCCGTCTGACCGTTGACTTCCTTTGAAGTACAGTATTAACTATCTAAGAGGTATTTTCTTGAAGTTCTTAACTAAAGTGAGAAGAAACTTTTTAAGGTTCCCTCGTTTCGAAATTAATTTTCCAACATGCAATAGGGTTCCAGTGACGCATATTCCACTTTTTTAAATTAATCTTACGTAGTTCACGTATTAATTTCTTCGAAGTTATTGTATTTCTGAGTCAACAAATCTTTAAGTTTATTCAATGTATTCAGATAATTCATTTAATTTAGGAAATGAAAAACTGTTTCAGGGTTTCCAAAATTGCAATTTTTTACATGTTGCTTATTGGTTTTGGACATTTGGTACACATTGGGTACTAATTGATGTTCGTTGGTTACTAATCAGTAATCCTTAACTACTGCTGGGTACATGTTGACTACTGATTGGTAGACGTTAACTACTGCTTAGTACACATGGACTACTGATTGATACACGTTGACTGCGGACTGGTAGACGAAGACTGGTGATTGATAGATTTTGAGTGGTATTAGGTACATATTGACTATTCATTGATACACGTTGACTGGTGATTAGTCACGGTGATTACCGATTGGTGTACGTTGACTACTGGTTGCTACACGTTAACACGCTGTCCTACGTGATTGACGTTTGTCTTCCCAGTATCGCGTGATTTTACTTCCAGATAACGTTGTTAAATAATATGACAAGAACGTTAGTTGGACAACTGTAAGAGAAAATCATACGTAGATCCAAACTGAAATATATTTGGGCAATTGAAATTATTATGATTGTTCATACGAGGTAATAATTTAATATCCTAAAGTACGCATTATCTCCCGTGATAACCAAATACAGTCGAGTTTACCCTAACTAAACAGTTGCTCTCGATTAATTACCTTTTTATTCTCTGCGAAATACCCATCCAAACAACACGCAAACAGAATTGCCTCACAGAATCCAACGTCCCTTCGCGAACCCCTTCCGTGTAAAGGTACCCGAACCGAGCCCGCGTTAAAACGTTCCCACGGGCCACAACGCGTAATTATTACATGCCCTCGGTGTAACCGCTCTAATTTCAACCCATATCGCGCAAATTACGCGCCCTTCAAACTCCGTGAAATTCGGGGTGAAACTAGAGCGGCCACAAAATTCTCGTCGATTTCGACTCACCTGTGCCTCGTTTAATGTAATTACTCGCGCAGTTCCACGGAAAACCGTAAAATTCGTGGGGTGGAACGTTCATCATCAGAAAGGGATCATGAGTGACGGCAGGACGGAAGGGTTGGGGGGTGCGGTGCGAAGCGGTTAGTGAAAGCTCGTGAACGGGTTGCATGTTACGCCACTCGCCGGGTTGATCTCGTCGAAAGGGGTTAGGGGGTTAGGCAAAAACCAGCCTCATTATTCCCTTAATCTAGCCGACGCAAAGTATCCCGGGAAAGTTGGCCGGTAGATACAAAATCAGCCGCGTTCCGCCTAGCGCTTTCACCGAACCATAAATCACGAAGGCTCGCGTCGTTAGGGTCGTCCTTGTGCCGCATAATGGCGATCTTGGTGTGCTGTAACGATGTCCTTGTGGCACTCCACGCCACGGCCCGTACGTACCTACACACCCCATAATTGGAAGCCCCGCTACTCGTTCCGTCGCGTTCGCTCCCATCGGGCCGATCCACCGTTGACTCTTCACTCCCCGCCGTCAGTTGTTTCTTTGAGTTCTATGGCTTCGCGGCATGAACGCTTTTAGGCGATACGGCACGGATTTACCGATACTTTGCCGAGTTTATGGTTACATGCCAGCTACGGCGGTAGGTGTACCGCCTCTGGTATAGAAGGATAATACAGGGCGAGGTGCGAGAGCCTCGGCAGCAACGAAAATGAAATTGATCGTTTTCCTATGGCGCTGGTTTTAGAGACAGATAATGATGAGGTGGTGAGTGATTAGTCGTTAATGTTTTCACTTGTTCTGTATGATTATGCAATAGCTTGCGTATTGTAGCTATATGCGAGAATTTGTAATTGTGAAATTAAATATTGAAGCTTTGCCCGACCATTTGTGGATATTTCTGCTTGGAATCAATTTTGGTGGTGGTATTATTCGTTTTCTGTGTTTTGATTGATAGAAATTCATGGTAATATCGTTTATCATCATTTTATACGAAGCTAAGTATTCGACAAATTGAATTGTAAATGTTGGTTTGGCCATTTGTCAATATTTCTACTGCAAGATTATGTTTATATTAATTTTTTCCGTGTACTGTAATCTGGTTGATACAAACTGTTCGTAATATAATAAATAATTATTTTATACGAAGCTTAGTATTGAAGGAACTGAATTTTGAATGACCTTTTCTCAACACTGGCGAAGAACTACCATTACAATCTATTACATATTATCCTGTTTCATGATCTGCTTCACACAATTTAATGCGCAAGTTACATAGATTTATTATTCGAGAAGGCTTTACTTGACAAGTTGCATACAAAAGTATTTCCTACTCATATTCCGGGAACTCAGTTTTACCGATATGTCTGAATATTTTCTGATATATCTACTTGTTGTCAATTTCTGTAATGATTTGATGTGCTTTCTGAGATAACTTGACACAGATTAAGAACTAAACGGCAACGAAAACAATGGTAGTCGATAACACGAAAGACAAATAATTCACTTGTGTTTTTTACAAAAAATAGTAATGGACCGTTTCTTTTGAAAGTGGTGTAAGTCCTTTTTTAAAAAAAATGAGATATGACGTAATTTATGCTTAATTTAGTGTAAACTAAAATAAAATGAAATGGAATTGGAAAATGGACTTGCACCACTTTCAAAATAAACAGTCCAAATTATGGCGTCATTTTAGTATTGTAAAACTGTTTCGTAGGCATCGAAACGTAGAAACATCAGAGACAAAACACTTTTGCCCCTGTTCTACATTCGGTGTCGAGACACATTTACCATTTACAAATGTTCTCCAACTTTTGACAACGGTAACCGCAGTTATCATCGGACGTACAGTAAACCCGGGTTTATAGTAACAAGGGAGGCGGTTTGAACTTGCGTTAATAATACGCGGATTTAGATTATTTTGCCGCGCGCTCTTAATATCCAGGTCAACGTTATTCTGGCAAACTCCGCTCGTAACGACCGTGAATGTTTGCCTCGTGAAGTTTAATTCAATCTGCTCGAGTAACACGAGAACTCCATAGTCGTTAAGGAAAAATTGATGCTTGGAAGATGATTCGTTACATAAGCCCGGCTAAATATGTATGAATCACCGACGAAACTGAAACGGTTGAATATCGTGCGAGATTGGGCTCGCTGAAGCACATACACTCCTTCTGTATAGGGTGTAAAATAAGAAATCTAATTTCGATCTCATTATTTCTTCATACTCTACACAACAAGGTGTCAAAAAACATATGAAGAAAACTATCTGTTACGAACGAATGTTTTCCTGCAGAATCATTTCACAGTTAGGACCAATGAAATCACTTCGAATAGCGTATTGGGGAACCGTTTTCTTGTAAACGCTTGTAAAAGTTAGGACCAATTAAATCCCATGGAATAGATTATGGAGGAAATCTCCTCTTTGCCTATGGAGTCTCTTTTACCTCCTCGTTCACATAACAAAGACAAAGTGG